CTCTCCTCTCTCTCCTCTCTCCCCTCTCCTCTATCCTCTCTCCTCTCTTCTCTCTCCTAGCTCCTATCTCCTCTCTCCTCTCCTCTCCTCTCTCTTCTCTCCTCATTCTTCTCTTCTCTCTCCTCTCTCTTCTCTCCTCTCTTCTCTCGTCTCTCTTCTCTCCTCTCTTCTCTCTCCTTTCGTCTCTCACCTCTCGTCTCTCTTCTCTCCTCTCTCCTCTCTTCTCTCCTCTCATCTCTCTTTTCTGCTCTCTCCTCTCTCCTCGCCTCTCTCCAGAGGCAAGGCCAAAAGTGACGACAGTTCTGCGTTTCCCGACCACGACCCCCCCGATCCCTGTGACTGTTGACACTTTTGAGACGCGAAGACCGGAGACGAGTCCAAAAGTGACGACAGTTCTGCGTTTCCCGACCACGACCCCCCCCGATCCCTGTGACCATTGACACTTTTGAGACACGAAGACCCGAGACGAGTCCAAAAGTGAGGACAGTTCTGCGTTTCCCGACCACGACCCCCCCGATCCCTGTGACCATTGACACTTTTGAGACGCGAAGACCGGAGACGAGTCCAAAAGTGACGACAGTTCTGCGTTTCCCGACCACGACATCCCACATCCTTGTGACTGTTGACACTTTTGAGACGCGAAGACCGGAGACGAGTCCAAAAGTGACGACAGTTCAGGGTTTCGCGACCATGACCCCCCCGATCCCTGTGACTGTTGACACTTTTGAGACACGAAACGTAAAAAGTGGCCTCCTGGACCCCTGGACCCCAACTGTAAAACGGGAATCCTGCTGCTACACATTCGGGAAAACTCAGGCCCCGTCCTAAACTCTTTGCAGCCCTGGAGGTTGAGTTTATAGGCCTACGGGGCTAGGGTGCCAGGCTTAGGGTTTCTGTAGGTCTTAGGTGCAGGGCTTTGGTTGTCAGTTTAGAAGGCGCGGCGTGCAACACTAAAAAGGGGCCCCAAGCGCTACATGCCTTGCAGCGGGGGGTTCTGTGGAGGTCCATGCCCTTCAACCCTAAATCCTACACTCAAAGCCGCAAACCCCTAAACTCTACGCTGGCCAAGGCAGTGGCAAGAAAGGAGCAGCAGCAAGAATGACAGTAAACAAGCGGTTTAGTGCTTAGGGTCAGTAACCTTAACACGGAAGCAGTCACACTAGCATTCTTGTTTCGTGGTTGTCTAAGCTACTATAAACCTATAAACTTAGCCATGTCTACTACTTTGAATGCCACCTGCGAACAGCGAACACCTCTGAACGTATCTATGCAAATCCACATGTGCAATCTCTGTGGTTCCAAGTGCGTTTCTAGAGGATGTTTGGGAACCAAGGTACTACCAAGTAGCAAGCCCTCAGGTTAAGAGCATAGTGCGTGAAGTACAGCAAGAAAATCCACCGCTTCAAGCACTGAAAAAACACTGTAAATCGCCTGAATCATTTCATGCAGCAAGAAACGCATATTGCTGGGGCTGCACGTGGGAACTCCAAACATGGGCGTCCACTTTTTTGGGGGGGTTCTCACGGCCTGCGTGCTTGCAGATACATAACAGACAAGAAAGAACCCTGTTACCGAAACAAGCACCGCTGTTGTCTTCTCAGAGCGCAGCAGTAATGTGTGGGGCTGAAGGCTTTCATATTCACCCCAAAAACGGGAAATCAAATGGAGAACAACATTGAAACTTATATTAGGTCCTGGTTTAAATACCCTTATTTTTATTGTTGCACAAGCAGAGCAAAAACAACTGAATGCCAACTGAGAATACTTATCATCCCGGTCTTACTTGATCCTTGCCTCACCCTGCAGCACGGGAACGTCAGCGACCTTGACGAGAACTTTCACACGGGTCCAGGGCTCAGGTTTGAGGTTTACAGAACCCTAAACCCCAAACTAGTTCTGTCGGCCTCATAAGCGTTCAGGGCTTATGGTCCAAAGGTCGGTTCAGAGACCGTTACCCTGACTCGATCAATAGATTGCCTAAAGTGGTCCCCCCGAGCCAATAGATTTGAATGGCGTCTACTTTGGGCTTTTTGGCTACTACGGTTCCTGCGCCTGCAATCAAGATTGATCTTTTCAGGTGCTCCCGCTGGGCTTGGCTCAGAGGAATCCTTCTCCGATGAGGTGAGTAAGCGTGTTTTCGCGGTGGCACAAACTAAGATTCAATTCTTTGCCTAGAAGGTGATACCCAAGAGGAAGATGTATTCTTTCCCAAAAAAGGCACTGTAGCCACAGGGACTCCGGCGGATCATAGGCCAACTTAAGCAGGGGACGCATTTTAGGTCTACCTAGTCGGTCTTGATGCGACCTACAGAGTAGCATGTACCCTTCTGCTACTTCTTCTACCAACATCCACACGCAAGTGCTAAAACGAGCCAGTCCCAATTCCCAGTTCCAGCCCCCCCTCCCCCCCCAGACGCGATGTGCTTTTGACACATACCCAATGAGGCTTGACTGATACCATGAAGAAGTGTTCACATGTACCCGGAATCCCCCTAAAGCACCTTGCCTCCTCCTTGACGCCGGTCAATTGCTGCTGAGCTCGGTTGGTCATGTCCTCCGAAACTATCCCTATCATGGACATAGTGAAGGTCATAGAAGGTCAGGGATCAGGATTTAAGGCTGAAGCCCACATCATAGACTCTTGCTAGGACTTCTCCGCGTGAAGGCCCTCATCATTTCGCAGCTATTCGGGGGAACCCAATCTCAAGTATCCGCGGTGCGGGCTGCCAGAAGATGTAGAGAAGTGGAATGATCATGTAAGGGGCCGTATGAGAAGCGCGCTGGACAATGCATACGGCCTACGAACGACACATATCCCGAAATCCTGCACCTCAAGCTCTACGTCATCTTGTATGCAATGCTGACTTGATCCCGCTACTATCAGAGATGGCCGGGCTAAGGCTGTCTGTAACCGCTTCCTTGACGCCAGCCTTCACTTGCTCCGTGGAGGGCGCCTGGTCGTGTCAGTCCAAGTTATTATGCTCCCCTGAAACCGCGATGGAACCCCTCAAAGAACTCTCAACCCTAAAGCCTAGATCCTACAAACCCTAAAACCTTGCAGGACCCTTTTCAGACCGCCAGGTGAAGGGCTAAAGGTTTTGCTTTTCTCTGGGGGTAAGGAATGGTGACAGGTAAGCACGATCACCAAAATTTCAGCGAAGGCTATAGGACCCAGGATTAAAGGGTTTTGGGGTCTAGGCGTTTAGGGCAAATGGCTGTGTTGAACACCACTTGTTCGCGGATAAAAAAAAATCATTCTTCTGCATGTGCCTGGAGCGCCCATGAGACAAAATTCACCGGCAAATTAAACCCCAACCAAAAAAGGCTAAAGGATAAACCCTAAACCCACACAAACCCGAAACCCTACAAACAAAACCCTAGCAACCTAGACTAGACCCTCCAAGCACCCGTTTGTAAGGACTACAGGCGCCCTTACAGGGGAAAGCAGGCCCTGACAGAAGGTAGTAGGAGGATCTGAGAATCTAAGCGCATGGTTTCCCTTTTGGCCTTCTTTATCATGCTAGTTGTAAGCGACCTTAGGCTACTAGGGCTTAGAGTTTAGGGTTTCCCTGCAAAACCACTACATAATCTTCATCTCCATTTCACCATCCATTCCATGTGAATCTCATGCTAAAAAAAAGAGCGTCTTTTGAAGAGGACCTATAGGGTCGCCATTTCATGTTCCAATTGAAATTCCAGTCGATCCTCCACTGTTGGGGTGATATCGCCAACCCCAAGCCCTAAGTTCCATACTAGTTTCCATGTTCTTTCCTAGGGCCTAGTTAAATATATTAAGGGTTCAAGGTACCAAAACACATCTATTGCATGGTGTTTGGGAGCTAAATCCCAAGCCTAAACCCTAAACCCTAAACCCTAAACCCCAACCTAAACCGCGTGGTTCAGGTTTGGGATTGAAAGAACCCGACAGCCAACTCGCCTGCTCCCAGGCGCTGCTTGCCGACTGCTTGGCTTGCTCAGAGAAGTCCTTTGGGTTTTGGGTTTAGGGTTTAGGGTTTAGGCTCGGAGAAGTCCTTTGGGTTTTTCTAAGGTTGAAACCATGGGCCCCTAGTATGGGCCCTTAACCCTGGGATTCTTATATAACTACTATATAGGGGCCCATATTAGGGGCCCATACTTCTAACCTTAGACTTTTGGGTTTGGGGTTGGGGCTAAGGATTAAGGGTTTAGGGGTGCTGTTGATGGAACTCGTGGGGATCATGTGCGTGTGGGTGAGTCAGATATTTTTTTCGCGCTTTTGCTCCGAAAGGAACGTTGTTTTAGGGTTTGGGTCGGTAGGGGTTTGCGTCGGGGACTATAGACAAATGCGCTGTATCATAAGTACCCCTAAACCCTCAACCCTACACCCTATATGAAGAAAAACCTTGCGAAGAATGGCAGATGAGGGGTTGGAATTTGAGGTCAGCGGTCTCTGCCTCAGGAAAATAATCCACATGACCCCATCCGGCTGAACCTTCAGAATGATGGTTGTGTGCTGGATTCAGGAGGTTTGCCATTGAGATATTTGAGAAGATAACAAAGCAATTGCCTCAGACATGTAACCTCGATGTTCCAAACAGACAGCAGTCCACGTAAAGGGAGCTAAATGGGATGCAATGTGAGCTTGCAAGACTTTGGGTAGTCAAGCCGGATAGAACCAGGTTCCCAGGACTCGAAATAGCTGAACTTACCACGTCCTTGAGGGGTGGGTCCAAGCGAAGCCGGTACTATGGAACCTTAGGTAGCCTTGGGTAGCCTCGGGAAGCACTTGGGAGGAGTAGGAAGTATTGCGACTACTACAGATGACTTCCCTCAAGGCACTCAACTTATGGATGCGACAGTAAACCCTCAACCCCTCTGCCGGCGCTTCCTTGAGTCCGGCCTTCACTTGCTCGGTGCTGGGGGCCTGGTCAGGTCCGCGCGATCTATGCAGTGGTCTATAAGGTTGAGGACAGTGAGGACATAGCGTTGAACCTTTGGTACCTCGCAAGGTTGTTGCAAAGTAACAGGAATAGTACTAGTAGTAGGACTGGTAATATGGTACACGAACAACAATCATAATAGAGGTTGCCATAAGAGTGACACTGACAATGTTGCAGATTGAACTGGCCACCTACAGACTCCTGCGGGTGGCTGAGCTTCTGGGGCGTCTGGGGACCACTTGCTGGAAGCTGCGGGAAGGATGGGCTACAAATATTGGACTTCATTGCGAGAACTAATTCTAAGCTTTACTGTCACACTGGCCCACCTAGAGGCGAAATCCTTTTAGATGCTTGAATTTCAGAAAGCCAAGTATCTCCAGGAACCAATGTTGAGATATTTCCCCGCTGGATGTTCGCTTTCCCTATTAAAACAGTGCATTTGGAACTGGAGCCTGCGACGAGCTTGGAAACTAGCTTCAAACTGGCGAACCTAGTCGGAAACCTAGCCACGGCCACATCTTGATGCTGTGCGGAAGTCTTGTGGGACGGGTGCTGATTGTTCCGCTCTGTGAAGCTGCTTTGCTGGTTACACACGCACAAGCAGGTACTGGGAGATCAATAGTAAGACTCTGGGTTTAGAAGGGATAGCTGGCACAAGAAAATCCATGCAAACTCTCGTGCATCAAAAAGGAAGTGGTTGAATTCCGTATGCGCCAAAAACGTGGTTAGCGATGCTGTGGGTTCAGCCAACCAACCGCAGCAACGGGTTTCCTTCTCAAGGGTGGGATGCGTGCTTCGTAGAGAAGATTGAAGGCGGCCAAACGGAACCGGCGTTTCTGTGTAGTGCCCGACAGCTGCAAAGTTCAAAAACTGCAGGCCTGCCCCTACACCCGAGACCATCAAACCCTCAAACAGTCAAACCACAATGCTGACCCCTAGATGCTCGCCACTCGCGCCGAAAAAACCTGACAGGATCCTTACTGACAGCTGGTTAGTAGGGAATGGAGGAATGGATCCGTATATCTTCATATAAGACCCGTAGGAAAAGCATTCCTCAGATCCACGCTCCCCGCCAGTCAGTCATCCCAACACTCAGACTCCATTCTGCCCTCCCTTCTACCAGCAAGATGAATTTCTATTTCATGTTCCACTTGCTTGTCAATTGGTTTTCCATTTGCTACTGATCCACTGTCAACCCTGATACGAGCCAAGTTCCATTCAATTTCCAATTTTTCCGTATGATTATCCTTCAATGAGCCCTGGGGTAATCTGCCGAAACCCTCAACCTCCTTGAAACCGAACCAGGATTTCACTTTCATGTTCAGTTTTCTTTCCATTCCCGGCTATCCTAAACGCCATAAAGCCTGAATCACAAGGCCTAAGCCCTAAACCCTGCACCCTAAGCCCTAACCCGGAAACCCTAAGCCTTAAACCCTTCGCCATGTAAGACCAACCAACCTGCCTGTGCCCAGGCGCTTTGCATGCTCGCCCTTGCTCGCTCGGTGAGGTCCTTCGCTGTGGTCATTGATGGAACTGCTTGTGACCCGAGGGATATCTGCGGGGTCGGTAGGGGGTTATGGGATTATACAGGGATTAACTACTCTGATGCTAAAGCCCCAACAGGTTTAGGTGACTTCATGATACTGACCCACTTCCCCCTACAGTAGCTTCACGAGGTTTAGGGCTCTTTGGGTCATGCAGGATGTTAAGTATCAAGTATCCGTGGAGTCTTGAGCGGCCTGAACAACACTAACTAGACATCATTATGCAGAACAAGCATCAAGGACAGGTTCCGATTTGCATTGTGTTGAGTGGACAGCGTACGGCGTATCACAACTAATCCTGGACGACTCTGTGCGTCTTGAACGCCAAGTAGTACATACCTGGTATCGTGGGAAGGGTATACCTGAAAGCGTGCCGATGCTGCTATTAGCTTTTCAAACGCTCGGTGCATGCATGAATTTTCCATCAGTACGCTAGGAGGCCTGGACTTTATGGCTTTACGATGTGGCTGTTGGCCAGAATCCATAATTTCTGCTGGTAGCAGAGAGGGATTGCTCACGAAACGTGCCCCAACATAAAGCCAACCCCTAATCCTTAAACCCTAACGCTGGCCGTCACCAATCCCTCAGAAGTCAACACTCTTGATGAACGCACTGACAAGTCCGAACATACTACATCAGCCTATCAAAGTCCCATCAATCCAATTGTCCAAGCTATAGGCTAACAAAGCCCTTTCAAACAAATGCAGGGCTTCCTTGAATCCAGACTTCACTTCTTCCGTCGTTGGCGCCTGGTCACGATTCCCAGCTGGTGCAGAAGTTGACGGGTGAACGCTGAAGGCGGGGGATGTGGAGAAATGGTGGGTCCCTTTCACATCTTGCCGTCCTGTGGCCCGCTGCGACACCAGCTTTGCTAAAACGACTCGACTTGTTGGGATAATGGAAAAATGGAAACCACTATAATCGGTTATATTGGGATAATGGAAAAGAAAATGGAAACTACTATAATGGGTTATATTGGGATCACATGAGTTTTTCTGGCATGAAGGCCTTCTGTTTAAATCAAGGGTCAGAAATCCATTGACCCTGGTAGCACCAATGCCTGACATCCCAACTTGCCTGCTCCCAGGCACTGTGCATCTGCTGCTTAGCCTTCTCAGAGGCGTCCTTCAGTGCCGGTCGATGGAACTACTGGAGATGTCTTTCTGGATCACACAGACATAAATTGTCCTTCTACAGGGAAACGCATACAGTAAGGGTTGGTACGAAACGTTAAACGGTTCTGTAGGACAACTGTGTGGCGTGCAACTCGACAGAGATCTGTGGCTCGCGGAGAGTAGGGAACGACCCCAAGTTTACCTGGGAACCGGGAATTTGCAGCTGATTCATATGCCTGGGTCATGCAAGAACTTGCCAAATACCAAGAATCATCGCTTTAGAAGTACTCGGCAAAACGCATCTGCGCATATTCAAGAGACTTCGCCAACGAAACCCGGTAAGCTCGTTATGACTTACTGCCAGGCATCATTCGAAAGATCGCAGTAGAGAAAAAAGGTGACTAGTTTTCGATTTGCGGAATGGGACTGCCGCATAATGGCTCACAACCGAGATCTCAAACCCAGTACGGCAGAAAAACTTCAGAAACACTCGAAGCTCTCATGCATGATCCCCATTCATGAAATGTTCCACATTTGAACCATCGTCTAAACTCCTAGTATACCCTTTTATTGACCTCTATAGTAGTTCCCTATATTATATAATCCCCTTAAGGACTTTAGTTTCCATTTTCGTTTCCATTATCCCATTTTCTTTTCCATTCTCCCAATATATTGAAGATCCCCTCTAAACCCTAAACCCTAAATCCTAAACCCTAAATCCTAAGCCATAAGGATTTTAGATTATGACTCATGTGAAGATAAGATGAAGCCATTTGCCACGTTGTCCTTGGCACCGGCCTTGACTTGCTCTGTGGTTGGCGCCTGGCCAAGCTGTAACATTGGGGTTATCTTGGGGTTGCATAGGGGTTATGTAGGGGTTATATTGGGAGAATGGAAAATGAAATGGAAACTACTATTTATGCTTAAGGGCTTAGGGTTTATATTGGGTTATATTGGGATAATGGAAGTTCATCCTTTTGACGATGAGCTTCAGGCTGGAACCTCACTGGGGCCATGCTTCTCATCTAAATTGCATCATGTCAGCTGCAAATTTAAGTACCCGCAATAAAAAGGCTAAGGACAGAGTTCTCAAGGCAGGATACTTCTGTCACCTGCTCCATCAACGAAAATTTCGTACATGTCCTAAAACAAAGCAGCAGCAGTCCGTCACAATTAAGGCTAGAATCCAGGTGGGAAACGCTTAGATGCAGTACTGGAAGATGCATGCCTGCCCTTGCCCAACCCAAGATTTTTTCCAAAACCCCAAACTTCCGATCCCACCACCTAGCTTCCTCTCACAAAACCAAGTTGCCTGCTCCCAGGCACTTTGCATCTGCTGCTTGGCTTTGTCAGAGGCGTCCTTTGCAGTTGCCGTTCAGGGAATTAGCTTCGGGTTCTGCACAGGGCCTTATGAAATGAAATCAAACCTTCGAAAGGACATGGTATAAGGACTCCTCCGGTGAGCTCCAGTGTTTTGTATGGTATGCATCCCAGACACCCCAAAAGATCCAACAGATGGGACCCCCAACAGATGAGCCCAGTGACATTCTGGAAGCTAGGATATTATTTGGGGCGTCCATCTCTTGCATCATTTGCACCTGGGAGAGTGGTGTATAGTGAGGTATACCAGGAAGCATGCACTGAATTCTTCAGTTTACAGTGGCCGGGAAGAGGCCGGGAATTGGTGCCCGGAGCCCAGTCACGCAAAACAAAGGATTGTAATGACCCCAAACGACAGAAACATGGTGAAACACAGGCAACGCGTTCAGAATGCTTCTCGGAAAGGATCGAGACTCTGTGGCTTGAGAGGGCTCCTTGGTGACGCTGGAGCTTTCCCGTTAACAGTCTTTTGGGCCTCTATAGGCACGCATGTAGGTCCTCCGTTCCTGAAACGTTTGGCAAAGGAAAACCCGCAATATTCCTCACCAAGGGAGGTAAGGTAGTTCTACTGGTGAAACCCTGAAGCTTGCAACCAGTGTGCTCAAAGATTATCAAGTAAATCAATCACTAGAACTTGGAACCCTACTGCAACGCGCCCACTCAGAGCTCCTCCCTTCAAGGTTAAGGAATCCTATCCAATCCTGGCAGTAGCCCCAAGGTTGCAAAAGCTAACCCATCTGCCAACGCTTCCTTGGCGCCAGCCTTCACTTGTTCTGTGGTGGGCGCCTGGTCACCATCCGCCAGGTTTGAGCTCAAGGCTTACACCGGGGGGCTGAGGTGGGGAATCTGCCGAAGGTTTGCTGTCCTTGAACATGTTGCGTGATTACTGCAATGAACGCCTTCCTTCAAAAGACGCAGGTTGTTCTGAAGGTTGGTTACTCTGACACCGAAAACTTTCGGACGCGTACTAGCTGAAAGCAATACCCCGCTGTTTGCAGAGAAATCGACGGTGGGCTGTGTTGGGGTTGAACCCATCAGATACAGCACCCCTATTGCACCCTAGTTCCAGTTTGTTTTCCATTTGATCCTCCCTACACCCGACGCCCACTTTACGGGGACCCAAGGTTTTTCCATCCTTCTGGGATATTATAGGCTTTATTGAAAACACCCCGAAACTATAATTACTGAAATTATGGATGGTCCTGAATTTCCCTTCGTAATTCTGGTAGCTATGTAAGGGTGTATGGCATTTGGGGTTAAGCAGGGAAATCCTCAACTGCTTGACCCGAAGCAGCCCCGACTCTACGCCCAAGGCACATGAATCAGCGCCAGTTTGAATCTAGCTGTTCTCTATCGTAGTACTTATCCGAGACTACAGGATATTAGCTTGTCATAACTTTTCTGCTTCCCTGCCTCACCCTAAGTCTCATAAACCAAGTCACCATCACTGTATGATAATGCCAGCTTCCTTTTCGTTTCCCATTTGATACTCAGTTAATTTATCCCTAAGCCCGATATTTACACCTACAGCACCCCCTTAAGCCACCTAGCTCTTGAATGCTCTCGACCAATATATCCCAAAATATTCCCCTAAACCTCACACAGCCCTAAACCCTAGCCCTACACGAAGGCCTAAGCAACTTGCCTGCTCCCAAGCGCTCTGCATCTGCTGCTTGGCCTTATCGGACGCGTCCTTCACTGCCGTTTAGAGACACCCAAATAAAGGGGTTCTGTAGGTTTGTCAGGGTTGTTATTTAAGGTTATAACAGAGTACTATAGGGTAATGAAGAACTGCATTGGGTTATAGAAGGAGTTCTGTAGTTTGGTTTAGAGTTTTGGGATATTACCCGCAAAATGAAGAATCAAATGGACAAGAAAATAGAAAAAACAATGGAAACCGAGGCTATGCATGGGTTCATGAGGTTTAGGGCTAGGTAGGTACCACTTAATCCAAGTTGCATGGGGTTGGGGGGTGCTGTTTGCGCATCCCTCCCTACAAGAAGGGTCAGGAGCAGCGTGGTGCTATGTTGGAGCCCTCTGCTTATGAAAGCCCGACATAACACAAAGATGATGTAGCTGAAAAGATTGGGTTTCAGGGAAGCGTAGTAAACTACGCTCTGGGAGTATGTTAATAGTAGTTTCCATTTTCTTTTCCATTATCCCATTATAACCCCCATATATAACCCCTATATATAACCCCTATATTCTATCTACGGCTTTCAGGAGGGCCTACAAACTTTTTGTAATCTCCTGCACCTAGAATCATGCAGGTTGTGAAGAAACAGCGAACAAACACCTAGACCCTTAGCTACCACCTTGCATTGATAACGGGTGACCCTGAGCAAAACAACAATAACAACAATGCAAGGTAGCAATCCAAATTCAGCACCCGCCAATATGGGAAACTGTTGCTTAAGAAAGGTCAACACATGCCAAGACCCAAATGGCAGTTTTCCAAAATGGGGGGACCCCAATATAGATCCCAAAACACTATAGTCCCTTTTATTGAGAACCCCATAAAGGTAACCCTAATTTTAGAAAACCCCAAATCTGGAAACCACTATGCACTCAGCACTTCAATGAAACGCGCAGCCTTTAGCCCTTGGAACTGCTGATGTCACATCAGCTCCTCAGATGAAGCTTACCAAAATCCTCTGAAATCATGGGTTGCAAAAGATAACACATCTGCGGAAAGTTCCAGTTCCTTGGCGCCAGCCTTCACTTGCTCTGTCGTTGGTGCCTGGTCACAGTCTTTGTGAGAGCTGAAGGCCTATCGGCTTGCGGTATGGAACGTGCCGCACATGTGCTGCTGGTTTTCAACATTGCAGCAAATAAGCTGAGGAACAAGCCTTCCTGGTCAGAATAAGCCCCCTCGGGTGCTATAGGGAGAATCGAAAAGAAAATGGAAACTACCGTAGTATATGGTTTCTTAGTCAGTGGTCTACATTAGTCAATGTAGACTTTGCTGTTTGTGGCGCGATCGTGGCAATCAACGTGCAAATCTGTTCCCAAGCGGCTTCTCTACATACTACACGAGCCGTTGTCTAAACTCCTGGTACCACCCGGAAAAGATAAGCCAATTTAGGTACTCTTTATAAACATTGGGGCCCAATGTAGGTGTTATTTATAGACATGAAGCCCCAGGGTATTTAAACTCCTAGCATCCCCCTTAAAAACCCCTGTAGTAGTCCCCTATGCACACCCCCCATATAAGCCCCTTAAAGGATTCTAGACTATAGCTCACGTAGGAACAACGTAGACGCGCTGTTGAAGGCCGGGCATCTTCCTCTTGTCACCCACACGAAGTGCTCAACAAACACCCAAAACCGAAAACCCGTGAAACACGCCTTCTCAATCCTTAAGATCTGCACTCGTAAGGGAATATATGGGGGCGTGATAGAGCTACTGTAGGGGGTTATATCGGTTTCGCGGGATACTATGCCACTAATGGAGAATCAAATGGAAGCGAACATGGAAAAAATGGACACGGGGAGTACAGATGCTCACTAACTTGCCTGCTCCCAAGCACTCTGCATCTGCTGCTTAGCCTTCTCAGAGGCGTCCTTCGCTGTTGCTGTCAATGTGGGATTAACATCGGATTTATAACCTGGAGCGTATGGGACTGTCTACGCCAGTCTATTGCATAGAAGAGAATCATAATGTAAGTTAATACACCATTACAAGGCTAAGGCTCCACAGAAAAATCCTGCTCTACGTGCATACCTGGTACCGTATGGTCATGGTAAAGTGCGGCAGAAGTTTTCCCCTTCAAATATGTTTAAGCTTGAAGCTTTGGAACATGCAGGAGAGTCATCCTGCCCTCTACCACCGCTGATCTCGTTTTCCCACAGAAGATCTGAAACTCCAAAAGCGCGCAATTCACTCCGTCTCTGTTCGGGTCGAGGGTAGGCCCAACCAACAGTGTTCCACATGCAGTGAAAGACTTGAATGCAATTGGCATTACTGTCATGCGGGGAAAGTGCTATGACAATCCACACCTGCTGAAGGCTGAACCTCTCAACCACTACGTTCCATAAGCATTCAACAGAAACTTGATCAGTTGTCATGATCATCTCACACACAAGCATCTGAAAGCCCATCCGACCTCGAAAGAAGCTGTGAAATATTGTGCAGTGCGAATGCGATTGAGATCCTTCAAATCCTGAAGCAACCCCCCTCCCAAGGACTACAAAAGAAGGCATATGTGACCCGTGTACAGCGGCTTCCTTGGCGCTCGCCTTCACTTCTTCCGTCGTAGGCGCCTGGTCATATTCTGTGTGCTGGGCTTGCGGCAGCACGCGCCGAAATTGCGGTCATTTGCTAATTTTGGTCTATTCGCAGCAGGCTCATGAACACTTCTCCACCTGCTTGCTCTTGCTGCCTGTCGGGATGCTGACTCAGAACGCTGACTTGGAGCATCGGATGAGGTACACTCCACTTCATCTTAAACTCCACCCTCAACCGCTGAGACCCTGAATCCCCAACCCCAAACCTTGGCCCCAAAGCCCAAAAGCAAAATTGCCTGCTCCCAGGCGCTCTGCATCTGCTGCTTGGCCTTGTCAGAGGCGTCCTTCGCTGATATCGCTCATGAAGCTACCACTTAAAGAATGCCTGCTGGGCCAAATAACCGTGATTTGGAAAATACATCCTGCTGAGGCCCACCAAAAGGGACCAAAGTTTCGAGAAAACCCTGCATAACATCTAGCTTTGCTTTTTCAAATGACCGCGCGGCATGCTTGTCCGTCCTGGGCGCTCGCCTTCACTTGCTCAGTTGTGGGCGCCTGGTCACGTCCGGCTGACGTAGGCATGCGCTCAGCTTGTGGCTACATTCATGATCGTGTGTCATCCCTCTAGTTGTTTAAGCGGGTTGCAATGAAAAATTTTTGGGAGCCACTTCACGACTGACATGCATTATCACGACTGCTTGACCTCATGGGAGCTCTTACTACATAAAGTCTGTAGCCTCTTGCCCGTCCGCAGAAGGAAAGATTGCGCGCAAGGCTGCCCACCCCGTGACAAATTGGGGTTATATAGGGATAATAGAACAGAAAATGGAAACTATAGGGATTATTGGGGTTATATAGGGATAATGGAACAGAAAATGGAGACTATAGGGATTATTGGGGTGTATACAGGGAAAATGGAACAGAAAATGGAGAATATGGGGATTATTGAGGTTATATACGGATGATGAAAAAGAACATGGAAACTATAGGGATTATTGGGGTTATATAGGGATAATGGAACAGAAAATGGAGACTATAGGGATTATTGGGGATATACAGGGAAAATGGAACAGAAAAATTGAGACTATAAGGATTTGTGGTTTTATGGGGATAACGGAGAAGAAAGTGGAAACTATAGGGTATATTGGGGTCTTAATAGGGATAATGGAAAATAAGAGGGAAACTATAGAGATTATTGGGGTCTTATAGGGATACTGGAAAAGAAAGTGGAAACTATAGGGATTATCGGGGGTATACAGGGATAATGGAAAAGAAAATGGAAACTATAGGAATTATTGGGGTTATATAGGGATAATGGAACAGAAAATGGAGACTATAGGGATTATTGGGGTGTATACAGGGAAAATGGAAAAGAAAATGGAAGCTATAGGGATTATTGGGGTGTATACAGGGAAAATGGAACAGAAAATGGAGACTATAGGGATTATTGTGGTTTTATGGGGATAACGGAGAAGAAAATGGAAACTACAGGGTATATTGGGGTCTTATAGGGATAATGGAAAAAAGAGGGAAACTATAAGGATTATTGGGGTCCTATAGGGATACTGGAAAGAAACTGGAGAATATGGGGATTATTGGGGTTATGTACGGATGATGAAAAAGAAAATGGAGACTATAGGGATTATTGGGGTTACGTAAAGATAATGGAAAAAAACGGAGACTATAAGGATTATTGTGATCCCGCAATGTATTAGCACGACTGCTTGAGCTCATGGGAGCTTGCTACATAAAGCCTGTAGCCTCTTGCCTGTCTGCACAAGGAAAGATTGCGCGTCAGGCTGCCCACCACCCCGGGACACGTGATCCCGCAACTTGCCTGTGTCATCCCAATAAAACCCATTAGAGTAGTTTCCATATTCTTTGACATCATTCTTATATTAATCCTAGATTCCCCCAGCAGAAAAACCTCCCATGTTGCCTGCTCCCAGGCACTTTGCATCTGCTGCTTGGCCTTGTCAGAAGCGTCCTGCACTACCAGGCCTTAGGGCTTTGCCAAAATTAGGGGTACTTCTTCGAACGTTTCTATACTATTCCCCCTATTTTGGGAAACTACCATATGGGGATATGCCTGCCAATGATGAAGCTACCACGACCCATCAAAGCTGACAACTGTGACAGTGAAAAAAAAAGTTCCCAAGCTTAGCATTCCCCACACTGTTTACTTTTGGCAGCAGTAGAAATGCCCTTATCGGTAATTTCCTCCGGCCATCGGAGAAGGCTTTTTATGAAAGGGACAAAAACTTAAGGGGCCCACGAATACTGAACGAAGATGTGCCGGGTTGCTTTTCCGTCCCAACTGCTGGGCTAAAGTCTATGATTTGGGGGAGTATATTATGTTGAGCTCCTGCCTCATATACCCTATGGTCACACCTATAAAAACCGCACGACATGTATGTCCGTCCTGTGCGCTTGCCTTCACTTGCTCTGTTGTGGGCGCCTGGTCACATCCGTTTGGCGTGTTTAATGCTTCTATTGCTAGCTAGGGCTTGACGCAATTGCAAAACTTCACGGCTGGTATACCATGATCACGAGAGATTTGCTACATAAAGCTTGTAGCAATTTTTTTTCGTCGACGGAAAACTACTGTGCAAAACTGCCATCATTCGGACCACGCAACTTAGCAACGTGCCTGCTCCCAGGCACTTTGCATTTGCTGCTTGGCCTTGTCGGAGGCGTCCTGCTGATGCAGTATGAAGTAAGGTTGTTGCAGGCTTTGTGCATGAGATGGTAAAGGGATGTTTGCGCAGGCTCTGTCTCAGGATTGCCCGGGCTACATGTGCGAGACTGGCAAGGAGTCTGCGAGGCACATAGAAACAACGAGCTTACACATGAGATATACAGCGGGATGTACGAGACATTTGCAGCAATGTAGCGTGCTAAGCAAAAGATGATTCGGGGAATGCGTCAGGTTTAAGGCCGCCTGTCTAAGGCGCTGGGCTTAGGCGAAATTGTCCTGCATCACCCCGTGTAGCCACAACTCTAAGCCCGTCAGGCGCTCAGTAAGACGGTTGCGTGGAAGTCCCTTGGTCTATCTGCTTGCACGAACTGCATTCGCAAGATATAACAACAAACAAATGCTTGCACTCCTCCCCTGGCATGTGCAGTAGGCAGCCTGACGTTTAACAGCTACTGCAAGGAATGTATTCCTAGTTGCTTGCAATTAACGCTCACCACCCTGACAATCAGTCCCCGCAGCATCAAATCACCAGTGTTCCGCAGGTTGTAAGTCAGGTGAACACATTTATACTTGTTGATCACGCGCGCTTGATATCTAGTATGACACTTGTATGAACCTGGCATACGTGTTGTTGGAGGAGAAGGGCCTGAGGCCGGTGACGTTCGAACCTCGCGGAAAGTTGCATATCGCTACCGCTCCGATGTCAACATACAACAGAGAGTTTAGCCTCGTGATCCAAGACAAGCATCCGAAAGTTCGTTCGACCGCAAGACACTCTACAATATGAGGCCT